ATTGTACATCTGCTGTATGATCTAAATCTGAAAACAAAAAAATTTTTACATTTTCTATAATTTACAACAGATTTAATTTTTCATTTACAAAAATTGTTAATAAAACATGAAGAAAGAAATTTTTTTCCACTTTACAATCAAAGTTATCATGTTAAGGTGAGGTTATGTAATAAAATTTTTTTTAAACATTTACGAAATTAAAATGTTTCGCTTATAAATGAATAATTTTTAATGTTAATAATTCAAAACGTAAAATAAATAAATAAAAATTAATTAATAAAATGTTTTAAACAAATAAATTAAAATACTTACATTCAAATTTTTGAACAGGTAATTCAAGTTCTTCTTCTGTATATGTCATTTTAACGAAAAAAATACAACTAAATAGAATTAATAATTTTAAGAAAATATAAAATTCACTTGCCACTGATACTAAACCGACAAAAACTCATAACAAAATCGATTTTTTTAACTAAATAAAATAAAAACTAGAAATACTCAGAAAAAATAAAACATGACTCATAACGTATTAACGTAAAATTGCGTAACTTGTAATTCTTCTTTTCATAACCGACTTTCAAATAATTCGTTCGAAGCAAAAAAAAAAAAACAAAATTATTTAATTTAATAATATATTTATTAATTGTTAATAATTACGAAACTATTTTATTTAAAAAAAAATACGTTATTTCCACTTAAAACTTAATTATCAGGTAAAAACACTTAAAATTTATCAAGTATCCACCATTTTAAAAAAATTTGACCGTTATTTCAAATTTGAAACGTTCCGGAACGCGTACTTACCCGATTTTCAAAACAAAACCAATAACTCCATTTAAAATGGCGGTCATTATTGAATTAACACATCGTGTTAAAAAAAAAACGGCGATTTAAAATACTTTATTTTATTTTATTAGATAAATGGATTATACTTTTAACGAATATGAGTTTGTTTTTAAAAAAAAATAAATTTAACTTACGTAAAAACTAACCAATCGTTTATTTGATGCTTTTTTTTCTTCTTAAAATGTAATTATATAATAAATATTAAAAAAAAAAAAAAAAAACAGTTAAGTTTTAAATATTTTTTCAATTTTTTTTTTATTTTCGCGACTTATTCATTTCTTTTACTTAATTATTATTATCGTTTGTTTCACACGTCGTAAGGTATTTTTAATAATACCCATTGTATAATTAATAAATATTTCATTTATTACAAGTTATTAAAAGAACATTATTATTATTATTATTATTATTATTATTATTCTGTATCATCTGATCTTTTCTTTCTGTCTGATTTTTTAGACTTTTTTTTATGTTTTTTATGACTCGGACTTCTAGAACGACTTTTTCTTTTTCTTTCGTGACTTTTACTTCGAGATCTATTTCGATGAGATCTAAATAAAAAGGAATAAAAAAAAAAAAAAGAAAAAAAAAAAAAAAAAAAAAAAAAAGAATTGTTTTATTCAATTTTCATTTAACTCGAAAAAAAAAATAAAAAAATAAAAAATAATTATTTTATTAAATTCAAAAAAATTATATACAATATTATACAAACTTGTCTTTTCTTTTGTCTTTATCATCTCTATCTATAACGATTCTCTCGTTGTTACGTTCTTTATCTAAATCACGATCCCTATCTCTTTCCTTTTCTCTTTCTTTTAATATTCTATCTTGTGAATTTGAATCTTCTATATGAGTGTGTACCTTTAATTAAAAAAAGAAAAAAGGAAATTAAATGGCGTATCAATGAGAGGATGATTAATTGTTTGATAAAATACTAACGGGTTTAACGCTTTGACCGAACGTAACTAAATTTCCAGGAGCCCAACCGTCTCTCCATTGATCAGCAGCTGTTGGCTCGTATGATGAAAAATAATCAGGTTCAGGATTAAAATATTCATTCGAACCTGTTCCCCCACCATAATGATCATTACCAGAAGAAAAACTAAAAAGGAATCAATCAAAATCAATTAAAATCATCACAATATAATTCGATTAACAAAAATAAAAAAAAAAAAATAAAATTACCTTGGAGGAGGCATTTCCATTGGTGGAATTAATTGTGGCATTATATTAGGAGGTGGAATACCAGCTGAAATTAATTTCAATTAATCAAAACTCCCATTATTATTATTATTATTATGTTAAAAATAAAAAATATTCATTATAATAAAACTTACAAAAATTATTATTCGGTGATATAACTTGTATATTTTGATTTTCAGGCGTATTTTCATCTAATCTTCTCGAAGCTACACCTGATCCTATAACTCTAATTTGTCCAGTTTCCCAACCGCTTTTTTTACCTCCTACAAAATATAATTTTTTTTTTTTTTTAATAAGACATTTACAATTAAAAGAATGTTAAAAGAAGAAATTTACCTGTTGATTGAGTATTTGTATACTGAGGATTTTGTCCTCCGCCTTGAGTGTTGGTCCAAGATTGACCCGTCATTGCTTGAGTTGGCAATCCTGTACAACTTTCATGAATTCGAATACGTTTTTGTCTTTCGCAATAAGCTTTCCATGTTTCTTCATTAAATCTGTTATGAAATTATTTTAAATTTAATGATAAAGTTAATAAATAATTGACATAATATTAATAAAGATAGTCAAAATGCAAACCCATAATTAAAATAATCTGTTATATCTGCTCCTGGTATTCTCCAAGGTTTGTCTTCAATTACATCAACATTAAATTCATGTGCTGGAACTCCATTGATTATACCGACCGATTCAAAATCTTCCATTGAAAATTTACCTGCAGACTAAAATAATTAAAAACATTATTTAAAATTCATTCGAAACAAAATTAGTAAGAAAGAAAAAAATAAATAAATATTACCTTTGTACCTGGACCTGTAATATTAGGCCCCCTTTTAGGTATATTAATATTAGTGTAGGTAGGTCCTGTTTTATTTATGTCGCCAATAATAACATTAACATTATCATCATCGCTATCATCATCTTCTTCATCATCTTCATCATCATCATCCTCTTCATCATTTTCTTCTTGTTTATCATTATCTAATTCTCCATTTTCATTATTATCTTTTTGTTCTGTGACATCCATTTTTTCTGGATAACTTTCCACACCTTCATCTTTTTCATTTTCTTCAATCTCCGGTATTTTATCAGGTTCATTTCGAATTTCCGGTGGTTCAAGCTCTGCATTATTAATCATACCCTAAAATTTATAAATATTATCAGTAATAAAAACTTAAATGAAAGGAAAAACATTTTTTTAAGAGAAAAATAATAATCTTAACCTCATCTTTAGTGTTTTCGGCGGCTTCGGTTGTTTCTTTTTCTTGTTCTTCTTCATCAGGATTACTATCACCGTATAACCATCTTTCATCTTCATCAGCCATTTTTTAAATTAATTTTTTTTAAAACTAGATTTTAAAAAAGATTTAACATTTTCTTTTTTTTATTAATAATAAAATTACTTAAAATAATGTATAAAGTATAATAACCGAGCGTTGCCTTATTTAAACGTACATTATTTATATGACACTAATAATAAACTAAAAAATTAAAATTATTAATAATAAATATTATTTAAAAAAAAAAAAAAACCCACAATGTAAAACTATAATAAAATAATTCTTATGTCCATATTTAAAATTAATTAATATATATATATATATATAAATGTTTCTTTTTCAATAATTCATTAGTAAAATTAATATATAATCCTCGATACTAGTTTGCTAATGTCATAGAGAAAGAAAAAATTGTAATGGCCGCTATTCGTGTTTACATATAATTAAAGTTACCTAAATAATTTATTTATTAGTTAAGTGTTATTTTGTACATTTTAATAATTTAATCATTCAGAGAATATTATTTATAATTATTCCTGTCACAAATGAGTAAAATTTTTCAATAACGATAATTTACAGTACGCTTCAGTGCGCTTCGGTTGCCATTTTTTTAATTATTAATTTTTTTGTAATATATATAAATAAATTTTTTTTTATTCGATATGAATCCAAGCAAGATACAAGATCAATTAGGTTATCTGGTACTCCACGAATCTGGAGCTACAATATCGGTAAATAAAATTATTTTAGCTTAAAAATTCAAGTCACACATAAAAATTAATATCACACAAAATTATTCACACTTCTTTGTTTCAATATTTTGATTTAAATTTCATTTCAGAGTAGTGGAGATTTAGAAAATGATGAAAAAACTGCTGAAATTATATATAATTTAATATCAGTGGCTGATAAATTAGATGTTGTCGCATTTCCCTCCGGTGGCTTCAACAAAATTTCTAGTAAGATAAAAACTTTATCACCATTAGTTAATTTTTAATCGTTTAATAAAATTAATTTTTTTTTTTCTTCTTCAGTTTGTTTTAAAGATTTTTGTTATGTTGTGTGTATGTCAAACAAAAAAATTCATATTGTTAAAAGGAAATTTCCCACGGGTCAAAGTTCACCCAATACTCCTGCAGAACCAAATTTAATAGATCTTCAACCTTCTACAAGCACTTCGGATAATCCATAAATATTTTTTTACAATAATCAAAAAAAAAAAGGCATGGGTAAATATAATTATTTTTAAAATGAATTAAATGGCCTCTCAAGTTATAAATATATACAATAAATGTAATCAATTAATTAATTATATGTTATTTCATAAATTATAAATTTAATTTTATATATATATATATATATATATATATATATTAATAAATAAAAAAATAAATCAGCACAAAATTTTTTATTTTTATTTTTAATAAGTATTTTTTTTTATTATTTGTATAAAGTTAAAATTATTTTATTAAAATTTATATAAAATTTTTTCGAATTCTTTTTTTTTTAATAATAATCTTTCCTTCCTTTCAAATCTTACAAACATTATATCATGTTATTATTATTATGGTTTTAATTGTTAATAAAATTTATAAATCTAATCATAATAAATTTAAAAAAAAAAAAAATTATCAAAATGTGTAATATCCTGTATGTGATTATACTCTACATAATTAAAAAATTAATATTTTTTCAAAATAAAAAAAAATAAAGTATTTTCATTCGCAAAAACTAACTTAATGAAGAAATAATAATAATATTAGTTATACGCACAAATTTTTAAAAACATTTTTAAAAGATATTTCCGACAAAAAAAAAATTAGTTAAAATCAAATAGAAAATTTTAAATTATAACTGCAAAAGTTTTTTTAGAGTAAATAAATTTAATCGTGTCATTAGAATTTTTAAACTTACCTCCTTCCACACGCGAGCTTATTCGAATCGCAGCTTCGTAACGTCATTCAACGTTCGACTTTCGTTCAACATGGAGAATCCAAGGTATGAATTTTTTATCGTAATCCATCTTCTTTTATTACTGAAATAATTAATTAAAATCGATTTCATTTAATATTTTATAATATTTATTTTTATAAAATTTAAATTTGTTTTAGTAATTATTTTAATTTTTTCATTTTTTATGTTATTTTAAATGATGACTACCTTACCTACGCTGAAAGATCATTACATTGATGATAATTTTATCTCACAGCGCTCTGAAGAGAAACAATAATTTATATATATTTGTTTCTTTATTACCTAAAAATTTATAAACTTTACGTGATTTTTTTTCTCTTTAGATTACCAGAAATCGCGTTACCACGTGACTACAAAAAAAACGGTTGATGGAACGTGGTGGCCACATTTTTTAAAATGGTGAGTATTACTCTCGACCGTTATTAAATTTAAATTTTGTTTTGTTTTTCCTACACTTTGTTTATTAAGAAAAAAAAAAATGATGAATTTTTATTTAATACTTTAGACTCGTAGAGTCGATGAGGGTTTAGTCATAGTTACTCTGATTTATTTATCAAATTTGTTTCAACACACAAATATACCCCTATTCATTTAATTTAAATAATTTTGTTTTGTTTTTTTTATCATTTTAGGCATTGAAAAATGCAAAATACTGGCAAAAGAAAAAAAGTATTTCTACCAACTGATGAAACCTGTTGTGATCCCAACGAAATGTGATATATTTTTGATAAATAAATGAGAATAATGAATCCATTCACATAGTAGACGCAAAGTCAGCAAGTCTGGAAGCTCCGCTTTTCTTATCTAATCTTGATTGCTGGTGAATGAACAACGACTAGCGATAGACGAAACATATAAATAGTGGGCCTCGGCACCACGTCTTTGTCTTTCGACATCCGTCCGTCAGTCAGAGTCTGCCTGGTTGTATCTATCGCATAACATTAGGGACAGTCAGTGCATCTTGGGTTGGATTCAAGAGCATCACATTCTACTTTCACTTATATTATATTTAGTGTTTAACTGATAAGTAGTGTAATTAGTGGTATTTCTGGTCAATATAATGTATCAGGTAGAAATTGTCTATTTATTATATTGAATATCCAAGCCAACTACGAGTTTACTGCAAAATCAGCAACACCGACTTCCTCGAAGAACGAGATCCATAACAAACCTTATTAAAGGTAAGATAATTAATTAAACAGAATTAAAAAATTGTTTTTGTTTTCAAATGATGAACATAAGCACAGCTTATTTCTTGAACCCTGAGAGTTAATGACACCTCTAACGTTCTGATAAATTTACTTATTAACCTTTTCAATTTAGTTATTAACATTGTTCTTGTCATGTACATATGTATATATCATTTCAGGTGAAAGAAATGGAAGAAATTGAATGATTGAAGAGAGAGAGAGAGAGAGTTTCGACACATACTTAAATTGATCAAATGAATACAAGTTTGCTATCAGAAAAAAGAAAAAATGAAGGAGAGCAAAAAAACACAAAAAGAAATTATTAAATTATTTTTTCTATCATGAATAAAATAATCTTTTCATCGATAAAACTGTATTTAAAAAAAGTTTCCACCCAATAAAGAATTTTTTTATTATTATTATTAAATAAATTTATTATTTTATTTCAAAATCCTAATTTTTAATCCACGTGTTGTTACACGTAAGAGAACCGTTGGAGACAAAAAAACGCGCGTGAATTTTTCAAATTCAAAAAAAAGAAAAAAAAAACGTATTTTTTTTTTATGACGGTTCGTATTTTTTCATTCCCCCCTTAATAATTTAAAAAAAAAATGTCGATGAACGAGAGTATCGAATCGATCGATATATCGATTAATCGTTCGAGTTTATAAATCCCGATAAGGTTTAAAAAATTAAATATAATCAATTCGATTTAAAATTGAAAAATATATATATATATATGTACATATATATACACATACGTAAACAATGAAATTTATTTTCAAATAATAATAATAATATCAGAGAAATGAATATAGCGTAATAATAATAATAATAGTTTGAGTATAAAAAAAAAAAAAAAAAAAAATTTTTTATTCATTATTTTATTTATTTATTAATCAATCAATCAATCAATCAATCAATCATTTTATAAATACTAATTTGTACTTTTAAAACGAATGGACAAAAAAACCCCTCCCCCTCCCCCCACTAAAAAAAAAAAAAAAAATTTGCATTTGATTTATTATTATTTTTTTTTTCATTCTCCTTCCTTTTCCTGTTCCTCTCCCCTTCCTCCTCTCTCTCTCTCTCTACATTGGTATTTAATAATTATTTATATATATATATATACCTATGTATATTACTTATTTATTTATTTTTATACTTGAAGGTGCAATAAAAAAAAAATTTACTTTTTAAACATCATTATCATCATCATCATCATCATTATTATTATTATTATTATTAATTTAATTTCTTCCGTTAAAAAAAAAAAAAAAACAAAATTCAAATCGATTCGAGATGGCAATTGGGGTAAGAG